TGGAGTTGTAAAACATTCGTCGCTAGTATCTAATGTTCTTATTCCCGTACGTATATCGATCCCGAAAAGCACTTTCGAATTTGCAGAGATAACTAAAGTGCTTTGTTTTTGTTTTTGACATAGGCTCTCAATATATAGTACTAGCAGCGGGCTGCGGTTGCAGCGCTGTTAATTTTATGGCCAACGTTGGGAATGCTGGACCATCACAAAAACGTGTATGTGGATCACAACCCTTGCAGTGGCAGCACAAGTAGTTGCCCTAATTTTGGTATTCATTTTCTTCTTGGTTCCGTCATGGAACTTCCATGCGTCTCCTCTTTTCATCCTTCTTCTGGAGCTTCTCAATCAAAGACTTTGAAGAAGATTCAAATCATAAAAAATTCACAAGCAAAGTATAGTACCTGCATCTCTTGTAACAAGCAAAGTAGTACCGATCATTTTGACCTTTTTTCATGCGTATTTTACCCCTATAAGAAAAGGTGACACATTAGTTAAAGTAATTAATCCGATCCCCACGACTACTCAGCCATTCAGGGAACGTGTGAATATGATTATTTGCATGAGTATGAGATGGATATGGAGAAACTCAAATTTTCTGTTGTGGTTATGAATATGATTTTTATCAAACGGGACCTACAGTGACGTGGTTATGAATGATTTTTACCAATAGGGGCTTTGCCCTATTGTATATTGATCTCTCTAATCAATCAGACAGCCAGTGGAGGTCTTGCCAGCCATCGTCCATGGAATATGAATCTCTCTATTCAGTCAGAGACTGAAGCTGAAGCTTGTGAGCTGTTAGCTTATTGGTTGGTTAAATTAATGGTGTCTGTTATGGGCTTATAGATTACTGGAGTCCCAAATTATTCGGTTAGACAACATACACACTTTTTTCGGATAATCCTTATTTTTACCTTTCACATATTGTTCATTGATTTTTTTCAGTTCCTTTGATCCGATAGTTGGAAGTTGAGAATGCTGTGTGAGAAGTAAAAGTAAGTAAGTGGATAGCACCAGCTTTTTTATTTTATTCGAGCAATGTTGTAACCTAGTCTAAGTATTCGAATTTAAGTACTAAGAGGGAGCAGAAAAAGTTGAAATTACTTATCGGTAGAACATCACCTCTGGATTCTTCTAAGAATATATTTTAGGACACATATGGATCTTTTTATTAAATCACCGTGCTTCTATGTTACGCTTCCAGTAAAAGTAATAATAATTAAGTAGAAGCTCTTCTATAGTGAAAGCTTAACTATTTAAATTGTGATTTTTTGCTCTTATTAGACTGTATGATATATTACATTGTAAAGATTATAAATCTTCAACTATAGACCACTCGTTTAGATAATTTACACACATGATCGATGATTCAGATTGACAACATGATATCGTCATTCAGAATAGTTAAGTGTAAAGAAAATGCAAATGGGTTGAAACACAATATAAATGTGTATTGTGTGTGTACATACGGAGTTGAAAAAGTGGACTAATTAAGCTTGTGAAACAAAAAGCGACCTTTTAGCTGAAAACATGTATATATAAAGGTAAGCATGCATATCTTCATTTTCTTTATTGCTAAAGTGATATTCTCATTTGCATAAACTACGCCTTTAACCGTTTTTTTTTCAACACTGTTTCGATTCATAGGCGCCATCCAACTTTTTTTTGTTTATAGTACATACCTAGAAAAAACTGCACATCATAATTTACTTTTTGAGTTTCATGCTCATCCCACCATTTAAGGTAAAAGCAACTTTTCTACTTTCCACACGAGAAAGGGCAACATGAAATGGGCGATGTTGGGGAAAGATTTAGTGTGACATTTCAGACTAATAGTTTAACGTTATTTTAAAAGTTATAAGATGGATATTAGTTTAACTTAGAGGGGTAAGTGCAAATAAATTTCAACTTAAAAATTCAATGTTAGTTATAATTCTCAAATTAATTTTCATATTCTATTCAAATCACATTCAAAACTATCCTCCACATATGCAATTAAGCAAAGAAATAAAATGTGCACATTGGATGTAGGATCTAACGTGGCAAAATTCAACACTATGAAAATCCTCGAGCTCTCAAGTAAGGACAAACACTAAAGGAAATGATTACACAAAGACTTCAAAACTCATCAACTAGACACATATACTAGTAGGAAATTTTATCTCCACACTTTGCTACTCGATCTCTCTTCAGCATTCAAGTAGAAGTGGCATGATACTAACACGATTGTCAATCACCTTTTTCTTGAACTTTGCAAGATACTAACGAGATCATGCAGAAATGTATGAAATGAAATGATTTTTGAAAATTAACCAATTAGGAGATTCACAAGGCAAATTTTCATAACCAATGTCTAATTAATGGCTAGTTTAGTATTCTTGTTAACTAAGATCTTGAACCGGCTCGACCAGCTCCGAGTCCTTTTCTTTAAAAGAACTCCCTCTGGGGCCAAATTCCCGACCTCTCCGGCTTCCTCAACCTCAAATCCCTCTCCTTAAACGACGACAACTTCTCCAGTGTTTTCCCCTCTTCCATTTTTGACCTCCACCACCTCAAACGTATTTGTTTATTTGGAGGATCTGGAAGGAGGAGAGCGATGATCGTTAATGCAGTGGTGGTGACGGTGTTGCGCCGGAGTGGGGGGAGAATGAGAGTACGAGAGGTCCTTCCAGATTGAGTGCCAAGGATAAAGTCTGTCATTTTGTGGACTTTAGAAAGTTTCATTAAAGATGCACCGTTGCTCCGCATGTTTTGGAAAAAATCTAGTTTTTCAAAGCAGCAATTAGCTACTTTCGCTTTTATGCTGTTAATAACCACAGCTTCCAAAATATCCAATTTCTTAGTTTACCAACACCTTAGACATAAAAATTATAAAATAAACTGCTTTTTTTTTTTTTAAAGCACGGTCTCAAACCAGTACTAAAGCGCATGAAAAAAAACAGTGATCAAACACTTGACAATAACACTGATTTTTCTGGATCGAAAATAGTTCTTTGTGCACTTGAAGCTGCTTGCAAACGTGTGCTCTCAAATGATTGCATGCAGTAAAAGCAACCAAAACCAAACTCTGATTCACGCGGCAATAAAGATGAAAAATACATATAAAGCGACTTTACCCTTGGGCATGCGGGCACTTGAATTTCCTCTCTTTTTAATGTATTGCTGCTAGTGTTCTATCTCATACGGCAACAACCTAATTGCGTATGCGACATCATCAACATAAAATGAATAAACTTATTTGAAAGTGTTTTTAAAATGATTGAAAGCGATTTTAATGAAGAAAAAAAATTTCGATTCCAAAAGCAACAGTTATGTGCTTTTTGCAAGAAGCACTTTAAGTGTTTTTTCAAGATTCACTTGCATTTTAACTAAGAATTGGTTTAAAAAATAATTATATCAAAAACGTTTTCAGTTATTTTAAAAACACTTTCAAATGAGTTGTATCTAAGCAGGAAAGGATAGGCGGCTCCGTTATTCACGTGTTTTGTAGAAGCAAAAGCACTTCTTGCATCTCGAAAGACCGGAAAGTTTATTGTGTTATTAAATTATGATTCGACCTTTTATATAAGTGATCAATAACATTGATTGAAATTACAGGTTACAAGAGTGTGATAAGAGAACATTTTTCATAAGATACGTGTACGCTAAGCAAAATTATCACAACATTAGGGTATCTAATCAAACCATAAAGAGGAGGCCCTACCACAATTACTATAGCCACACTCATTAAAGTAATGGGATTATTAGTCTCTCCATCAACTTCATCTTCCCACCTATATATACATACCCCACAAAAATTGATTTTTTATTTATTTTATAAAGTAGTGCTATTCACATTCTCTTTTTCTCTCTTACATATTTTTGTTATTTTTTGTTAGTTTATCTTTTTCAGCTTATTAGATCTGACAGTCATAAAAAAATAAATGTGTATGAAATATAAAAATAAATGTGTAGATAACACTACTTTTTTATATTCCAATCAATCATCATGCAGCACCACTATGCATCTTAATTGGATCTATCTTAACCAAAGTCTAAAATATCGATATTATGCCGATATTTCCATCGAAATTTCCGTGTTTTTGGACTACTGATATTTCCGATATCATCGATATTTTAGACCTTGATAGAAACTCTATGTGGTACTAAGTCACTCATGTATCTTACCATGCAATGTATAAAGTGTAAAATATTGTACTAATTCATTATATATAAATGATTATGGTGTGTTTAAACTTCTTTCATTAATTACTACATATTTTCTATACTCACAATGTTTGCCAGCTCGCTATATAATTAACTTAAATCAGTTAAATCCATCATGCAATGCATTTCATTCCAATGTTTTGTGATAAACTAATAGATAATTGACTAAATAAACATCCTGCAAAGTTTCAATAAAAATTTCCAAGTTTTTCTTATAATTTTCGTGGTTTTTATTCAATTTTTATCGATATCGATAATATTCCGATATTTCCATCGAAATTTCCGTATTTTTAGACTACCGATATTTCCGATATCATCAATATTTTAGACCTTGATCTTAACCCAACTCCATTCTTACCCTCCCCAAAACCAAAACAAGTCTTTATACATCCACTTCCCCATTTCTTTATTCTTTAAATCCCTCCAAAATTCAATTATTTTCAAAAACCAACCACTTCCCCTCTATTCTTTCCAAATCTTGTTTGTCAATTTATCGTATATCATGCGATGCGGTCAATTTTCATTAGGTCATATTTATATTCTATTTTAAATTTTAAATTTAAAATGATTTCTAACCGTACGATATACGATGAACGAACAAAATTGATTGATCTTTGGATCCTCACAAAGAGGATCCTTGTTCATTCTTTCCGGCTTTAGAATCCCATTTGGTCACTGTATTTATCCTTTTTCGGATTAAAAATCATTTTGATCATTCTATTTACACCCGGTTCCACTCAAACTTTTGATTCGTTTCTCATTTCTTTAATCCCGCAGAAGTCTCCGTCTTTCGGATCTCTCAGTGTGTGTGTTCTCAAGTTTTGTGGCGTCACTTTTTGCCTTATATTCCGGTTTCTAGATGCACACCCACAAAACTACAAATGCCACCCAATCACAAACCCAAAATTCTTTAACCGAATTTAATCCCCATTTAATTAAGACACCCTTTTGACCACCCACTATTTCTTCCACAAAAGTAAAATCTTTGCTTCGTCATCACACTCCTGAATTTGATCTCCATGATCTCTCTTTCCTCACTATAAATACTCATATATAGAATATGCTCTGCAACTACAATCCTTCAGCTAGACCAAGTGTCGAACACCTTGCAAACTCACTTTTCGATCCATGCATTCTTCAAGAAACTCAAAATTTTCGATCATTTCTTCATCTGGGTAGTTTTATTTTACGTGTTTGTATTCGAATGTCGAAAATGGCGGCTCCGAGATCATCATCTGGATCAAACCCAGGTTCTGATCAGTGTTCTAACCAAGAAATCAGCATGAACAAATCTGAGCCGTTGATTCCCGGATTGCCGGACGAGGTTGCCGAGCTCTGCCTGCTCTATCTTCCCTATCCGTACCAAGCTTTGGTGCGTTCGGTTTCTGCTTCATGGAACAGAGCCATTACAGGCCCTAGCTTTGTTCTTTGCAAGAAGTCTTTGTCTTTGCCTTTGCCTTATCTTTTCGTTTTGGCCTTCAACAAATCAACGGCCAGGATCCAGTGGCAAGCGCTGGACCCACGATCTGGCCGTTGGTTTGTTTTGCCTCCCATGCCGTGTGCCAAGGCCGCTTGCCCGCCGGGGTTTGCTTGCGCTTCCCTGCCACGTGAGGGGACGCTCGTTGTAGCGGGCGGCGTGCGGTCGGACACAGAATGTTCTATGGAAACAACCTTTGTGTATCGAACATCTACAAATCAATGGTTGACAGCCGCTCCAATGCGGACCCCACGGTCATTTTTCGACGCTGGAAATATCAACGGAAAGATCTTGGCCGTCGGAGGCGGCAAGGATCACTATGGCAGCTCGATCACGGCCGTGGACTGTTACGATCCTAAAAAAGACACGTGGGAGGCATATGCCCCTCTGCCTGGTGGACTGGCCAAGTATGATTCCAATGTGGTGGGCAACAAGATGTACGTGACCGAGGGGTGGACGTGGCCGTTTATGTACTCACCACGTGGCGTGGTCTACGACCCTGACGATAACACGTGGCAAGAGATGAGGCCGGGAATGAGGGACGGGTGGACGGGCGTGAGCGTGGTCGTGGGTGGCAGGCTGTTGGTGATATCGGAGTACGGGGATTGTCTGATGAAGGCGTACGACCCTGATAAGGACACGTGGCGGTACGTGGGTGGGGACAGGTTCCCATGTGAGGCACTGAGACGCCCCTTCGCTGCGAGCGGGGTGGAAGGGAACATATATGTGGTGGCATGTGGGTTGAATGTGGGCGTAGGATGGCTGTCCGAGTGTGAAGCAGAGCTAAAAGTTGAGTGGCAGCTCCTGCCAGCTCCAAGTGCTTTTAGGGGTTTTTCTCCTTCTAGTTGTCAAGTGCTTTTTGCCTAAATTATTGAGTTGTTGTTCAATTATATCTGCTTTTGGCTTTGTTAGGCAATTTCTCAATTAAACTTGTGGGCAAATCCAACTTTTCTAAAATTGTTTGGTTAGAATATTGTTCTACAGCTAGGCCTAATATTTGCTTTGCTCTTCCACATAGACATGGAAGCACTTTCGTAGCTTTGTTTTAACACTTTCATTGACCCAAATTACTATAATCTAACCAATTATTAACTTAGTAACCCTCTTGGTGGCCTATGAAATCAGTCATATCTTATCCAAATCTTTGTACAATATTTGTCCTTGGTTCGAGATTAAAGTTTTTGGACCGATGCTGTACTTTTTAGTAAAGAAAGAAAAAAGTAATGGACGGTCATTTTTTTCGACAAAGATAAAATTTTTGACTACAATCAACTAAGGAAAATGACTTGTAGTTTATCGTTTAACCCAAACCGAGGCTTTTTGTTTGAATTTTCTTTCTCCAATTTGCTGGTTTGAAAGATGAAAAGTTGAATCAACTAATAATTTGGTTAGTTGCTGTGTTTTGAGCGGATTCAGATTGTCCCAGGCGCTTTGAGAGCTGCAACATCTTTTTCATGCTTTTAATTATTGGGTAGAAAATTTAAAGCAATCCAATTAAAGCCAAAAATCTTTAAAAAGATTGTGAAGGACCCACTTGAATTGATTTATAGTTGACAAGCATCATGATGTTTTGAAAAAGCAGTGTGACCACAATATCCCGTCGCTTTAAGTGCACTAGAATATTAGTGGGATCGACGAAGGTGATGAAGGTATATGAATCTGTTTCTCTAAAAATCATACATTCCTTTGACGTAACAAAGGGACCCTAATGGGACGAGCGCTACAATCAGTCGAGTTTAGCCATGCGCAACCAATTCTAGCATTTTTTGATGCTTAATTTTCTTTTTCGCTCATGTCAGAAAATGGAAGTCACAATTGTTGACACGCATTGAGGAAAATAAGGGATGATGAAGAAGGAAAGAATCAACTCGTATATATCTAGATAGATAGATATAACATAAAGTTCTTATCGTATGTAAATTGTTCGTAACCTCTGGGGTTTGGAATCTTCTAGAGACGCGGTTTTTATAACCATTTGGACCTGCATTCCAAGCTTCCAGATTAAGCTACGTTTTCCAGGAAAGTTCCCTATCTCTCTGTATAAATAGGAATTGCCTTGCACCTCGCATGCCAGCAAACAACAGTTTCAGTTTCCGACCACTGCGAACAAATCACGAAGCAGAAACCCAAGATAGGAAAGAAAGGAAGGCAGACAGGCAGAGGAGCAAGCGAAGCCGGAAGCCTTGAGGTTAAAGGAAGAAGGATATTCCATCATGTGTTTGGTGTTCGTGTGTGATGAAGAAGAGAGGGTGCTATCAAGGCAACCGGCACCGGGGGCATGCCCTTACTGTGGAGGAATGGTGCAAGCCATGGATGTTGAGAGCAACTGGAGGTTTTGCTTCCTTCCGCTGTATTGGAGGACCAAGCGCAAGTTCTACTGCAGCTTGTGTACTAGAAAATTGGTCGTGCAATGATAAACTCACATGATATGTAGAGAGATTGCAGTTTGAGATTTTGTATATATAACAAAATATATAGTGTATTTTACTGTTACTGAAACAACAAAATGACAGGCTCTGTTTACATATACATGCTTCATTCTTGTGTTCTTTCTAAATTTCCGAACTGAATTGAACCGCCCCTCTAGATTTTACCTCTTAACCAATTAAGAATGGTATGTGTCTTAGTTATCTACAACCCCAGTTTCATGGTTTCTCTTCCGGACATTCCTTCCAACTAAAACCGGCAGAGAGAAGTCTGTCTAAAGTCTTCAAATCGTTGAATCTTATGGACCAAAGAGGATATCCAAGCTCATAAGGGAGAAATCTGTTCTTCCTAAGTTCATTCCTCTAAAGTTTCAAATTGCTAAGTCATAAGGGCAAACACGAAACAGAGTCCCATGGTATAGCCCTGCATTTAGGATTATATCGAAATGCATAGGCCAAATTTACTTTCTTTGTATAAAACAAAAATCTTGGGTACTTCTTGCGCTAAATAACACAAAGGAACACTGTGACATGCTAATCAACTGTATTCTAACACATTTAACATAAAGGGGAAGCAAAACCGAAAATGATTAAGAGCCAATTCATAAACGAACACATTATGCTTGAAAGTCGTATACAAATCAATTCATGGCTGTGCACTAATGAGGATGACAATAACATCACTTACAGAGTTTCAACTTTTTAAAATATGCGGATACCACGGATTTCGGGTACGGCTTTGTGGCGAGACAAGTTGGGAAGTTTTCGGGTTGTTCAATCCAGAGCTTGTGTGCTATGCCACCTGCTTTGAGCTTCTCTGACAAATTCACTATCTGGGGTTCTCCCTTCACCTCAAGGGTAACCTGCAAAAGTTCACAAGGACATTGTAATCAAATTTCAACAATCAGTACCAAGTAAAAACAACAGTAAAGAAGTAAATTCTCGAAACCCAGTTAACTGATTCACAATAAAACTCCCAGTAAAACTTACAACACAAATTTGGCAGAAATCTCAGTGACCCAATTGAACGAACATTAACTTTAAACTATGCAACCTCATATTATCTACAGTTTCCTACATATTTAACGCTGTAAAGACTGTAACTTTATGCTGTAGCACAAAGAATTTCATACATTTTGTGGGCCCAAGTGGACAAAATTCATGGTATAGGCTTAAAACCCTTCTAAAAAATGAAGACATGTAACATTAACCTCAAAGTTCGAACCCCTTCTGCTTAGTTTATATTAGATTAGAATCCGGCTTCGAGCTAGTTTAGATTAAATTAGAATATCGCTTTGATAAAATAAAAATCAAAACTACTAAGAATCACACCTTCATTCCACATTCGTAACCAAAACCCAGAAATCTAAAACTGTTAAGCCCTACAAAACTCCAATTTTTTTCAAAAATTCAAGCTTTTGGATTTACCTTATGCATAGAATCGATGTTTTCTGGGCTGCAGTACTGGAGGGTGAAGGGATCGTCTTTGTGGGACCAAATGGCGGATACGGAGGCATGGCAGCCCTGTGTGACCATGCTGCCCGTCGGCCACGTGTCGATTAGGTCTCGCCGGAGCACGACGTACTGAACCAGGACGTCCGTGGTGTCGGATTTTGGGATGTCCGGATTGGCCTCGGCGGCTGGTTGACTCATCGAATTTCGGATGAGTCGAATCGGGGCGGGGGCCGCGTTGGATGGAGGTTTGGCCCCAAATCTGATTCGAGGGACTGAAAGTGAAAGTGAGGTGGGACGAAGTGGCGCGAGTATACACGCCATGATATAATTACACGTTGGAGCATCCTTCCACACCGTCCTACTTTATGCAATTTTTTTTTTTAAAATTACCAATTAAATTTCTTTTTTCTAAAATTTAAATTAAGGCTTTTTTTTTTCCTCTTTTTTTCCAGAATTGCTATTGACACTTAAATTTTTTAGAACAAAGTGAGAAATATATGACGACATTTAGTGCTAATAGCAGTTCCAAGGGCAAAGCGAAGTTACTAGCTCTATATAATGAGAAAATCTTCGGTTAAACTACATGAATCACATGGATGGTCTAGTTAATATCACAAAAATATGAACCTCTTGTGCTAATTATATTTGGCCTCACTCAATCTCACGTTGATCTCATCCCTGTGAGAGAGTTGTGCTATGTCACACCCTGTTAAAGATTCACTGTTACAAGATTGGGTTGGGATATAAATTGTAACAGTCCGTCCCTGAAAGTTATGGTTTTATAATTTTAATACGTGAAATTACGGAAATACCCTAGGGGCAAAGTGTGATTTTTTTAGGACGTATGTGATTCTCGTATATTTTGTCAGGTTTCTTGACATATTTGGATAGAGCTCAATCTTATGGACGTGAAGGTACGAGTATAAGTGAATTTGGAGTTACGGTTAAAGTTTTGTTGAGTTACAAACCCAAAAGTATTTGGAACGAATCACTATTTTAATTATCTTACACTATATTTTATTAGTATTACGAAAATGATTTTTTATGATATACGTGGGTGTAGCTGGTGAAATAAAAGGAGGATAAAAAGGGATTGGGCAAAGCTGCCTAATCGGAGGATAGAAGTGGAGAGGGCTGTTGCCCTATCAGGAAGAAGAAAGGAGGGAAACTGACCAATAGGAGGGGATAGCAAGGAAGGGAAAGGAGGGAGGAAGAAGAGGAGGA